AGGCGGAAAGGTCACTGGCTATGCAGATCAGGGACATGGCACGAGATTGGGAAAGCTGCAGGGCACATTTGAGAGAGGCCTTTCGACGGCCAGAGCTCCCTCAGCCCAGAGTCGAGAGGCGGCAGAGGAGTCAGAGGCCGAGGGACCCTGAGCCCAGGGAGGCGAGACCATCTCGAGGAGGACGGAAGGCCCTAGCCAGGAGAGAGCAGGAGCCAGAGGATGAGGAGCGCGGGGCATACCCTGAGTGTGGGTTGGGGCCAGTGGAGTTCCATCTTTTTACTGAGGGTGGATTGAGGAGGTCGCCAGCACACACACAGGGGGAGCCACCAGCGTCAGAGGGGCCCTTGAGGAAATTGGAGATGTATTTAGACACTTCTCAGTGGAGGGCGTCGCTTCAAGGTGAGGAGTATGGAGAGCAGGCAGAGGAGGTGCCACGGGAGGAGGTGCCACAGGGGGAGATACCACGAGAAGAGATGCCACGGGAGGAGGTGCCACAGGAAGAGGTCCAGGGTACTCAGCGAGAGAGAGGGCTGGGCGATGAGGGGAGACGGGCAGGGAAGGAAGTGATAGAAGTTGGAGAGGACACGCCCCCACAGACGCCATCAGTGGGTTTGAGACTCGGGGATACACCAGGGAGCACCCGGCAGGCAAATGAGGGGTTGCAGAGAGAGGAGACCCCTTTACCTTCGTCAGAAAAGGCTCCTTCGCCGGAAGGGAGGGCAGAAAGGAGGAAAGAGAGGGCAGCTGTAAGGAGAGAAGCTTTGATCCTGATTAATAGGCACCTAGCAGCTCATGCCCTGGAGCACCCAGACCTAGAGGAGCCAACACCTGCAGAGCCACGCCAGGAGTCATGCCAGCCCGAGAAGGAGATGGAAGCAGAGATCCCAAAGAGGGTCGACCTCCGCACGAGGGAAAGGGTGCCAGCTGAAGAGACGGCTGAAGAAAAGAGGGCGAGACGAACCAGGCGGATAGATGAGATATGGCAGGAGAGGCAGAGATCGGAGGCACCAGGAGCACTCCCGGGTCAGCCACCCAGCGCACCAGCTAAGGCCTCAGAGATCCCTGAGATATGGAGGGACTTCTGGGAGCAGAGAGGAGAGAAGCTTCCATCGCCAGTCAGAGCCGGGTTTGGGGTGGCCAGGAAGGCAGAAGAAAGGTTAGATCGTAAAATCAAGTTCCTGGCCAAGACCACTTTTGACCGGTACTTGTTATTGGAGGGCGATCTGGCGGGGAAGAGAATGAAGGAAGCCAGCCATGGAGTACGTCTGGAGGCTATGGAGGTGGAAATTCAGGAACTTAGGGCTTTGGTGGCCAGCCAGGCAGCTATCATTGAAAGCCTGAGGCAGCAAACCCAGGGAAAGGCGGACAGACCAGAGAGCAGCCGGCAGGGAGAGCAGAGGCAGCCAGGACAGGGATTGCCAGGACAGCCATCTGCGACAGAGCCTCGCCAGGAGCCACCTATGGGAAGGGTTATCCTAAAATCAGAGGAGGCGAGAGCACAGAGGCAGGCGGAGAGATAGACGTTCGAGTTCTGAGCCCTTACCGAGCTCGCGACACTGCCAGTAGCAGCAGCGGGCCCAGTCGTACCTTTGGCAGTAGAGGAGGGGTTGCCACCATCTAGCAGTGAGCCGGCTCAGGGCTCAGTAGAGGAATCCATGGGCATGCTCCTTGAGACGGTGCATACTATGCGGGAGGAGGTGAGTTTGTTTTCACCTGAGCAGAGGATAGAGGAGCCTCTTGAGAGAGAGATGGGGAYTGAGGARGAGGGTGCCATCGAGGGCAGACTCCAGAGGATAGGCACACCTGAGTATGGACCAGAGGAGATTGAGGAGCAGCCCACRGCAGTGCCAGGGGCGGCACTCGAGAGGAGGCCTCAGAGGTTGGACACGCCYGRGTACGTTCCAGCGACAKAGGATTTRAGAGGCAGACTAGGATTTTGGGCTACTGGATCTGGGTCTGGTGGACCAGTTCCGGGGACAGAGCGGCAGGAAGTCGTTGGTACTGCAGCTCCTCAAGCAGAGCAGCAGGGGGTTATCAGTACCTTGGCAGGATCTCCTTCATCGCCACCTCCTCAGCCCAGGAAGAGGAAGTTCAAGAGAAAGGTAGATCAGCTATGTTTTTACTGCAAAGGGGACGTGCACCTGACTTTGGACTGTCTCGAGTTTCTTGAGGATAAGGCAGCAGGGAAGATCTCAGAGGTAGGGGGTAAAATGTATGATAGACAGGGTAGGATAGTAGAGAAGTCCGCAGATGGACTTAGGGCTCAGTTATATAGGCAAAACCAGGAGGAGTTGAGGAGGTAGGACCGGTTTTGTCTATATAAGTGAGCGAGCATTTTGTGAGGCATCAACGTAGGTTCTGTGTGATACTCTCTTAGACTTAGAAGACATTTTGATGATTACTGTTAATCTAGATCTGAACTCTAGTGTTTCTACTGAGTTGGGGTTTTGAGGGTCAGGGTGGTTTAGATGAGGCATGTACATATTTAGGTGGCCTACGCCTTGGCTTTTGAGAGACAGATCTGACATGTATTTTAGGGGTAGTTGTCAGTGTGGGTTTGGTGTGGTTAGAGTTGAGCAAGCTATGATTTGGAGACACTTTCTGTATGAGACATTGTATTCCCTGAGTGTATATTATGATGAGGTTTCCTTCAGGGAACATTCTTATATGTGACGATCGCTTGTCCTTCTCACATGTGTGGTTGTACTCTGATGTATGATGAGTTTGTGTGGACAATGTGTGAAAAACCTTTTATGTATCTTGGGTATTGTGAATATGATTGTAAGTAAAACTGTCTACTCCTCGGTATACTTGTGCGACCTACCCACGGCAGCTGATAAGGCAGAGTATAAGGGGAGGAAGCGCAGTCCGTCTGTGAAAGTTATCTAAGTTGTGATGAGGACCCATAAGATGGTCTCTCAGTGATGTTCTATTTTATGATGGGACCCCCTTAGATTTTGGAAAAGGGAGGGGATGTTTCGTGATGTTTTGTGATGTAACGAAACCCCTCGTGACTTTGAGAGAGGGGGTGTTTGATTTATGATGAGACCCTCGTGATTTCTGGAAGAGGGAATGTATTGTTTTATGACGAGACCCCTCGCGATTTTCGGAAGAGGGGGTATTTTGTTTATAAAGAGAGTCCCTTTTGGATTGTTGGAAAATGGGAGTGGTTTTCCCTTTTGGATTGTTGGAAAATGGGAGTGGTTTTTTGTTGGAA